CTAAGACAACGTACAAGGTCAGTGAAGGCTCATTACCCTCCGTCTCAATGACTGTCCAGCATGGCTAGATCTGGAAACTGTCTCAGGCATCACCATTATGTCAAGGGATCTGTGGCACCCACTTGACAAAACACAGGTTCATCAGGCCACACAAATCACCACCGATGTTAATGGCGGGTACATCATTCGTTGAAACGTGCCAAATCACGAAGGGGAGCTTCAACCCGACTGGCCTTAACTGGTTTGGCAAGCTAAATCTGTATCAGATGTTGATCAAAGGGGGAGGAGATCATAAAAAAGCTATCTCAGCTTCCTACTTTATTCATGTTCGAGCTCTCTCAATGACTGCTGTTGAAGTTTTAGAGGACACAAACTCAGACAATGTTAAAGTAGGCAATGCGCTTCGTTGGGAATAAGTGGCTGCCTTGGTGACCTTGTAAAGACTTCAAACCACCATTTCACCGCCGTGACTCACTGTGCAAAGGCTAATATTTGGAAAATGTGTTGTTTTGTCCAAGTCACTAACTTCAAGGACACCACCAATTTTACACTGGTCATCTTGGCATCAGCTAGACGTTTTGTTTACTGGTCACGTATTTACAAAAGTCTCACTCACTTTGTTAAAAGTTCTCATCATTACTAATGAGTGAGGAAGATTTCTCAAAAGTTTTCACCGATACCTTGGCCACTAAGAGGCTGCAAGTGCTACTCCATATCTTTAGGCAACAAAAGCTTCCAGAGACGTTAGTCATAGATAGCGAGACGCAGTTTGCTTCTCGAAAGCTTCACCACTTTCGCTACCAACACGCTATAATGCATTCGCTCCGCTGTTTCATCCCCCAACTCAGCAGGCAAGTGCAGGGGTTCGTTGACATATTCAAGCAAGCTCTACCACATAAATTTCTAATGACTTGTAGTACAGCTTAGAATTATTCCGTACGAAACCACCAATCACCAGCCGAAGCGCTAATATGTCCTAAGCTTCTCTCGGCCAACTCAGCGATGGTCTCAAGGTCACAAAATGGCTACAAAGTACGTGTTTTGGAAGCCCCAACGGGGTCCAAAACAGTTGCCGGCTTTTACGCCAGCGATTATCGGCTGGAGCACAATCGATGGATCGCTGAAATGATTTTGCTCAAACGTAGAAAAGTAATTTTTTACGTCAGACAGGAAGTCAACTGGATGGGACATCGTACTCTACCGGTGGACACGCTGCTGGAAGCATCCCAGATACCATCTGCACCTGTGGGTCTTACTTCGCAAAATACTGACGGAAAATTTCCGTATTTGGTGATACGAAAGGCGAAGGCGTAGCAATAACCGATTCTGACCTCAGGAAAATTCCCGATTTTGAGTTTCTTGAAGCTTAGGTTTTTATTGCTAACCCTCAAATGTCACTCTCTAGCTCGGTCCTCCCCCCGCCCTGATACTACGTATGATGTATTTTAAGCGAGCTAATACTCACTGTAAGGCCAAACTCGATCTACCGCCACAAGTAAGCGAGTCAGAAACCACAAGTGGCTCTGACAGCCTCCATTACCCATCCAACTATCACGTACACACGCTCTGTACTCCCTTGGTCTTCCTCCTAAAGACATCTATGTCTTGGGCGCTTGATAGAATTTAAGCACGCGCCCATAAAAATTGGTTTGTGACACTCTTCTGCCTCTTTGGAGCGTCATTACCGGCCCTACTCTTTATTGCTCTTATGCGTCGGTCGTGATGTTAGACTTCATATAAGTAGATGTCTAACTTGAACTGCACCAACAATTTAGAATGGCTAATGTTGTATATGTGTTAATTGTTTTTTTGGAGAATTCGCCTGAATCCAAATCCATTTAGCAAAGTAGGCAATGTAGTGTTGTGTCACTACCACGGTAACAGCTTAGGCGGCACCCATTCACCCACCTGTCCTACTTCTTAGCTTCATGTAGCGTGAGGCAGCGTCAAGTCCTCAGGTAATGCTCACACTTGACTTTTACGATGCCATCGTTTGCGAACTCTTCCCTTACGGGCGATTTCGATTTTTTCAGACTAGTGAACGTAACCTGACGAAGTTATACCTGTTTGACTGGAGTGGGTTTGCTGCTTTACTCTATGAATAAGGAGGTAACTTTATTACAGCCGTAGACGGGGGCTGGGAGACTGGTAGCAGAGGTCACATTCAGGAACTTCCACATCTAGCCACGTACAAGTGAGATCTGCAAGCGTCCACTTCTGCCTTTTGCCCTTCTAGGTCTTCGAGGGGTACGGTTCAACAGAGACTCTGGGCTCCCTCTCCTCGGCAAATGCCAGTGACCGCGAAGGTGGACACGTCGGTGCTCCAGCGCCTGGTCTTAAGGTCATATTGGCGGACATCCCTTCGATGGGCATCGTAGCTGAGCGTGACAACAAGGGCGAAGTGAGATAAAAGTTTCTTTTCTCCACTTTGCTTACTTAGCCGTCTCCTGGTTTTGGACTGGTTTTATGATGACTTCAATACATATTTAATGATTATTTAAAAATTCCCATCGAATATTTCAATGGATAAATTTCCACTTCCGTCTGTGTCCCTCGTTTAAAGTGAGGTTGCCCAAGTTTAGGATGCCTGATTAAAATCCAACCAAGCGAAATGCAAGCAATTCCTTCACTCCTAAGCATCTTGTTGCAAGAAAACCTTTGTAGCACGTCTTTATGGCGTGACCCCAGGGAAGGACAAATCACGATGATTATGTTGCGGCACTAATTTAGCCCTCCGGATGCTAATTCGCGTGGTTTTCGTTTGATTTGTCCACCACTTCCAACATCACTTTCTGTGATTATTCATTAGCCAGCATAATTAACCCATTTTAAATGCTGATATCCTCTGTTAGAACGGAAATCCTTACGCCATTCACTGGTGTACTTTATATGGCCATAATAGTGTGATAGTCCCATGACAAAGTCAATGTTAGAAACGGCCTTAATAACCGGTATTGCAGATGTGAAAGTATGTTTGGAATAGTGCTGCTGATTTGCCTTCATATCTGCCTCCACAATGTCAGATTAATGGAAGTGGAATGTTGGGTCTTCGTTAACTTGCTCAATTTTCGGCGTAGCGTTCTGTATTATTAATAGATAGATTGGCTTGGGGAAAGGGGAAGGGAACCACAAATACGACCAGAAGGCCATGGCACCGGGCCGGGGTACAACCCACAGACTGAAAAGTCTGCATATGTAAATGTACAGCTAAATCAGGTATTAAATCACTCAATATGACAGCAGTTTTTATGTTGCCTTTTTTCGCAAGTTAAATGTTGTGCTGGGTCTCTGGTACCGAACGGTTGCACACTTAGGTCTTATAGTGAAATATTAACGTCAGTCAGTCGTCATCACTACTGCTGCTGCCACTGCAGCATGTGTCACCGAGCTCAGATCATCCCTCTTCCATGTGACTGGATGATCTTTACGATTAAGTCCACCATTGATGAGTGCGATGCTCAAGACGTTGATCACACCTTAATGGTAACGTTAGCCAAACCCTATTGCTATTAACTAATGCAAAGTTTTAGGTTAGTTCCTATGACTGCCTCAATTTCACCGCCTCAAGTGATTGGCTCATTTTTGGGATTAAATTGTCCATCATAACGAGGCTCTCTGGATCGTCGACCAGCGTACTGTGTGTGTGCGTTTATTTCTTGCTTAAACGCATCATTTTTCGGCGTCTTGAGCTGTCTTGATTGTGATAGAGCCTAAAGCGGTACTCGCATTTCTGAAGTGCTAAATTGTCTTCTCTTGCATCACGAAGAAAACTTGATTTTTGCTGTCACTTTACAAAACTTCCAGTTGAGAGTTCAAATTGTTGAAGAATCGTTGTAACACATCCTAGCCGCTTCCATGAGTCCGGTTGCTAAGCTACTACCTAGCTTGAGAATTGTGTTTGCCTTAGATTTGCGTGAAGGGGCCAAGCTGTACATCCGGGTACTTTAAGGATCCGGACAACACCGCCAAATTATTCGACTCCGAAGGCTGGATGCATACTGGTGACGTGGGGATTTGGACGGAGGTAAGCTTCATCCATACCGCTTTTCACATGCATTCTGTGCTCACGGGTATTTGCCATTTCCCTCATCTTAATTGCATTCGTAGCAAGGGGTACTTTTCGCGCAGGTTGTGAGCCACGCGTTTACCCGCACACCATTTAGGACTGGAGCCTTTAATAACCAAAATGTTAACAAATGTAGCCTCCTAGTTATCCACTTTTTATTTCATTCACCGTTTCTGGCACTCGGCGTGGTCACTCCAACTTCGGCCGTCACAAATTTTCCTGTAAGACGGGAGAAGAGATTATGTGATAAATTTGCACTACACTCAGAATGCTCCTCACTTAACGAGCAGTAGTGCGTATCGTCGACTCAGTTTTTTCACCGATCCTTGTTCATTTTTCCCCTATTTTTATTGTTTATATTACTGCTGTCCCCATTACTTGACGGCACTCGTAAGATGGCCTTGCCCACCTGTCTGTAAGTTTTTTGCTTACCGTTGTGGAGGTACTGCGTCATTTGAAATACGACAAATCTAATAAGTGTAGTTTTCTACTTGAATTGCTTTGTTGTCCGACTCTGAGTTTTTTTGCCGCCGGCATGTGAAAATAGGTTGCCACTCTGAACCATAAAATCTTAAAAGTATGGGCACACAGCTAGCCCACTTGACAGTCGATTCAATAGTCTGTTTGCTCTAAAGCCCTTATGGTCTCCAAGCCTACACTTTATAGGATGGACAGGTGATAGTAGAATGATAAGTTGCAAGATTATTTCTTCCACAGCTTCAATCTTGCAAAGCCGACTGGGATGTGAGCTGAGGCTACCCTTAAAATAAGAAACCGAAACGGAGTTTGGAAGCTAATGCTTTGAAATGTATTTCAGTTGCAAAGGATGGAGTGTTGGGAGGAGAAAAGTCCGTCACACCCGATGACGTACCTCAACCTCCTTTGTTAGAGCTGTGTGATAGATTAGATGCTGTTTGAATCCACGCCGAATCGCTGTATGTCATAGCATCCAGTCCCTTTGGCGAGGTACCCTTAGGGGAATTCGTAACCTGGATTCATGCATTCAAACTCAAAGGTCTCGTGCCGTCTGCGGGATAGCTCAGATCCTTTCAGTGGTAGCATTAGCTTCAAGGCGCTTTTTTATGCATGGAACTTCACTTCCTCGAATCACCTTCTTTAGGGTCCTGGCAGCTCGCATCCGTGGTCTACTCGATGAGGTAGTTGCCAATGTCTTCTTGATCAGCAGATCCGCTAAGACGTCGATTGACAGTCGGGAACAAGGCTGGTCATTCAGGAGTTAATACTCCACCCACCGTCAAGACTCTAGCTTAATGGGATTCAAACTGTTGTTTGGCTCTGAAAGAAGTTATTTAGATGCATCGAACTTTGGTTATCAAAGCCTTGTCAAAGCTGAAGCCTATAGAAAATCAGAGTCACTTGGGGCAGGTACCACTGACACTTGTGGACGACTCGAAGTTCACGTTTTGATTGCTTCAATACCCAATATCCCAAAGGATGTAAATTGTCAGGTTAATCCGCATCACCAAGAGAGATGAATTGCAAACTGGCCTGTAACTCATGTTTAGCTTCGATTTCGTGGAGGCGGCAAGCACCCAGAGGATGATGACAGAAGACTAGGCCTGTCCCATTAAATTAATTCACTAAAGTAGCTCTTTCGTGAAGGTCTGGGTCACCTTGCCTTCCAGATAATCACGACCCAGCTACGTGGAGGTTGATGGACTTGGGGAAACGTCAAAAAACTGACACCCCACTTCGTTCGAAGTTCACTACAATTGTGGATGACTACATGGCCACAAGGTATGTGAAACTGGTGCCTGAAGGAGAAACCAAAGCTGAACTGTGTGAGGTTTTTGGTATCTCTACCATCAGGCAATCCATAACTATGGTGATGCAACTAAAGTGAGGATTTTCTTGGACTGTGTTACATTACAACTAAAAGTCAGTAAGCCAACAACTCCACTGGATCAGACCTCGTGAACAGCCTGTGAGGAGCTTTTCATTTGAGCCTACCTTATCTTGCGCAAGCCTGGTCCTGAAGCAAACTTTTGCGTGTCACATAGCCAAACTTTGCATTCGGGGCCTCCTTCGATTAATTTTAATGTGCTGTAAAGCTAGTTACGTTTTGACTGTATAGGGATGGAACAACAAGCACCACGAAAAAATGTCACCCAAATTATAAATCCTTTATTCTTCTCCTTCACGTAATAAAGGGCTCCCTTATCATCAAAATGCTTGGCATTCTGTTTTGTTTCTTTTACAGAAAAACAGTCTAAGAATCGTGGATCGCTGTAAGCATATATTCAAACTCTCTCAGGGTGAATACGTAGCCCCCGAGAAAATTGAGTGGGTCTACTTGGAAAGTCGTTTCGTGAGTCAGGTGTTCGTGGACGGTGACACGGAACAAGCTTACCCAGTTGCCATAGTTGTCCCCGAGGTTGAAACTCTGGTACAGCATATCAATTCGAAGGCGGGATCAGAGATAGCCAATGGCGACAGCTCCAAGGCCAAACTCCTCAATGGCTATGCTCGTCCTCAAAATGGAGGCGATGTGAATGCCTCTGGAGAACAAGCTCCTCCTTCTGTCACTGCTGCAACCGTCGATAACACCACTTTTGTGGTTCATGGCACCCGGATGACCATAGAAGAGTTGTGTGATTATGAACCCGCGATTAAAGCGGTGCTTGATGATCTCAGTGCACTCGGAAAAGCTCGTGGACTGAAGGGCTTCGAACAGGTACATTTACCGTTTTTGCCATCGATCACTTAAAGGCAGAAGGAGAGGTAAATGTAGTTTTATAAACACCTCATTGCTAGGATTTGCGTCTGTTTTGCTTTTAAAGGAGGCTTTGTTTATGAAGTAGAATTGAGCAATTGGAGTGGTGTTGAAAGAATAGCTGTGAATATCTTTGCGTACTCAACCGCCATGCTGAACTCTTTCCAAACTCTAGGGTTTCTTTTAATTCTTCCAGCCAACTTCAGTTAGATTTTGATTGGATCATTTCTTTATGATGATATTTTGGGTTTCTTGAAGCACAAAATCGTTTACTTTCGAGTTAGATCAATTTTACTATAGAGACACCGCCTTTCGTGTGGCGTCAGGTTTTGAAGTTTCAGCCGCCTCCGACTTTATCAAGGTGTCATCTAAAGGTGGTGCAGTTTGTCGGAAATGTTTGATGTAACATGATTGACTGAATGACTGCATAGCATGATTTCTAATTTTGAAGTGTCGGTCTCACAAACTGTCAATCATACGTCTTTCCGAATGAATTTAACCCGTGGAAATCTTGGCTGGAATTCGTTCTAGGTCTTTTCTCATTTATTGCTCAATTGTTATAAGTAGTATCGACAGATTGTCTAATTTGCTTAAAGGCCAGATACGAGTGGTAAGACTTTGATCTCAAGGTTCCTTGTAGATTTGGCTGTTCCGTTTTGAGATTTTGGTAATTTTAGGAGAACATTTTCAAGGGCTGACCTTAAAGCTTACCTACAGGTCAACTCCAAATGAGGCGATTAGATGCTGTGATGAGGCTTCCGTCAATATCCAGCTTTCTATGCGGTACATTCCTCCTATTACAACGTGGAGGAGAAATGACATCGTAGGATTTTGCTTGGCAATTAATTTTATCAGTTTGAATTGGTGGAATCTTTCTCACTCGCGAGGACGGAAAGGCAGGAGATTTTTGGGCCTAGAAGAAACCTTTTTGGATCCGATATACAGCATTCATGGCTATAGTGAGGGGCTTCGCAAGTGAAGCGATGGTGTATTTCGATACAATTTCAAACTGCGTCGTCCTTTGTTACAGCGGTTTGCTTAAGGGAGAGATTCATCCATTAAAAGGAACTGAATGCTCCATTTTGTAGGAATGATAAATGAATGTTTGCATTTCTGCGTCGCCCTTTAACACTGCAATACTGTCTAGTCGTCTACATAGTCACTCTCGCCAGAAATCTAGTCCAAGAACCACAGTTCTATCAAGATTTAAGAAATTCGGAATTCACTTCCTCTGTTGCAAATGTGGGAGTTAGATATAACACGTTCAGCTGTCCTGTTTGATGAGGAGTGACTTGTCAACCAGACCTTTTAAAGCGTGATATTTTGTTTGTGGGAATACAGTTGAGACGCGCAGTTACGGTGACGCCATTGTTTACTTACAGGTTAAGGCCATTCAACTCTCACCGGCGCCTTTCACAATTGAGAACGGAATGCTGACACCCACACTGAAAGCTGCTCGTGAGATCATTCGACGTCAATTCAGATCCGCTATCAAGGCCCTCTACCAACCGTCTGCGACCATCTAACTCTGCATTGCGTCCCCGTGTACCCCTTTCTGTGTTTGTGTATGTGTGCGTGTAAGCGAAGAGGATGTCTGTTTGGTATCTGTCACATCAGCAATACCGTATTTTCACAAGGGATCACTTCTTCCCTCCTCCCTTTGCGTTTCTCTGTGAGTGCTCATTTTTCTGCATACTGCTAGCTAGCGGAGGCAGAAAAGCTCTCTCCCTTAAGTATTGTACTCATTTCCGTTCTCCAACGCACAAGCGCATGTCTTTTCCTACTTCCTTTCGTCCATCCTCCCCTCACCCGCGTCGCCACACTCATACCAGTATATTTACGGGCATTAAAACTGTTTTTTTTTCATGTGCATTCAAAACCCTTTTGAGGCGTTCGTTTCATATATACATATTTATAATGATAGTTTGGGCAATTCGTTCTTTTTGTTGTTGGAGTTGAGTTGTTGGCCCACATTGCCTTGAATCATCGCTTTTGTTCATGCTATTTGAGCTTTAAATGTGTGCGCCGAATAGATATTGACGGAGTCCTCCTTACACGTTGTGCCTCCACTATCGAGGTGGGTCGACTTTATATTTCACGAAAGACGAATTGGCGACTTATCGAGACCAAAGTCCCATTTTGCTGTGCCCGAGAGCATTACATTTGTGCTTTTTGCATCCGGTGGCCTATCTCACTGACCGGGGGGGGGGCCTCTAGTCTTGTGCGGTGAATCGAGGAGTGTTTGCCAATGCGTGGTGTGCCCCGGCTCCCGCAAGTTTATATCAATGTCGGTCTGGTGGATGGCCTAACTTCGCTGCAAGTAGCGAAGTTGGGGGGGGGGGGGGGGGAAACGGATTCTCATTATTTTTATGATCAGGACTGAGGGCAGACAGGCTAGTAGTGCGCCCAACTTTTCATGCCATTTTTTCACCGAGGTAGCTGTTGTAGTGAGTGCTTGAAATTAGTATTTTTAACAGGAGTTGAGTTTCATTTTTCGTGCTTCCTTTGTGAGGTGACTTCCTGATCAAGGTTCTGAGGCGAATGTGCTAAACTGGTGACATCGAATGTTCTTTGCTTTGTCTAGTTTCCCATGATGGTCGTCCTGACTGCACTAAACAATGCATTAGGTACTTAGATTCTGCCGAAAGCAAATTCTTCCTTTTTGTCTTCTAGATTGTCACGTACCACTGTTTCGAGGGTGGAGCCTTTAATTTGGACTACTGAAGGGCGGAGCAATTGTTGCGTCGAATGTTATGCATTACAAAATACCTGCTCCCCCCCCCCCCCCATTTTTATTGATGGTCCGCCCAAATGTAGGAGCTTGTGATTCTCAAAAAAAGTGAATCGGAAGTCTGTCATGTCAAATAGTAATGGCGGCTTGCGTTGTGCATCTCCAGCCGGTCGCCAACGTGCAGCAGCGCTTTTGTTTTAGCAGTTTACCCTAGTCTAGACATGATTCGCCCCTGGGTAAACAAACGTTCCATTTTTTGCTCTTCAGTGGTGGCTGACCCCACACCCCGACTGCCCTTGTTTGTCAAAGACAGATTCTGTTGTCAGTCTGTTGGCGGTTAAGGCTTTCGCTCGTGTTGTAGTACTGAGACGCCTACAGGTTCAAAAATTGCCCAGAGGAAGTGCCCGCCACGATGTCCGATTTATTTCATTAATTTTGTCACATCACTCCTATGGCCTGTCAACCTTGTCGAGCACAATTTTTCTATTCCGCTTCTAGATACACTAAGATCTCAGTGCCGCCGCATTTAGCCTGTTTTTCTGGGTTTGAGCCTCTCGTAAACCGTAGCACCACTTGAGACTGTTAGCCATTACGCCAGAGAATTCCCTTTCACACCGAATAAATGTGAGGGATTGAAGAACTCATCCCATATTCCATTTACCGATAAGATGTCTCACCTGAATGTGGTCCTCCGGCATGCGAACTCCCCCTCCATCAAATCCCAGCGGCACATTAACGAATCGAGTCTACCCTGTCCTAATGAGGGACTTCTACGAGGCTAATAGCCTCATACCAAGCCTGCTCCTGTTCACAAGTCGCTACAAAGCGTGTCCGACAAATGCTACTTTGTGGATTTGAGGCAGTGAATTGCCTGACAGCCCGCCGACAAGCGCTTCTGAGAAGTGCGCAAAGCCACTCCCTCTTGTTCAGTCACCCTAGATCACAATAACAACCGGGCTGTCCACCCGGATCAACAAAAACTGAAATCCAGACTAGCAGTTGTAATTTCCACCACCCTAACGTTCACCCGGAGGTTAACTCTGCCCTTATCGGTTCATAACCGGGAATGAATACGAGAGCTGGACCGTAATCAAGCGCAGCTATAAAAAATACTTTATTGAAGTAAATGCGTCAAATGGAGTTAAGATGAGTAATCTCTCACTTAAAATTTAAATATAGAACAAGGGGACAGTGATCACTGCCAAGAATTCCGCACCGAATCTCTTGATCAACAACGCTGGAGATCATGCGACGCGAGACAACGAAGTAATCAAGTCGCCTAAAGGAATAAAACAAAGGATTCAGAGCTCAAAGAGGTTAACTCACCAGCCAGAATTGGACTTCCTAGCGTTGTGACGCGCACTCCAATAAGTGTAGGCCCTCGCACGAGTTGGATAAAAATGACGATATGTGTCCACTAAATCGCAATCAGCCAACATTTCGGAAAAACCCTGACGTTCTTCGTCAGTAAAACCAGCAGATCTGTGATTCCCTGCTGGATTGGCTAGATCTAGGGGCAAGTCAAGTAATTGACACAGGACTAACCGATCTCTTCGTGAGAAACGTTGAGGTCGCCAGTCAAAATAACCGGTTTCTCTTTATCCAATTTCTTGATGTACTTACAAAGATCCTTATTCCACTCCTTTGTCCGGTAATCAAGTCTAACCAGTCCTTGTCCAGAGTTTGGAACATCTGAAATCGATTTAAAGTTTTAAAACCTCACTTACAAGCGTTGATAAGGTAGAAGTGCTCATACTCAGCCGTGATAATCCGGCCCTCCGTGTCATGTTTAGAGATACCGAGGCCATAGACTACGTTAAGGGGTTTTATTTTGGTGTAAAGACCTGTTCCAGAATAACCGGGCTTGTTTGCAGAATACCAATGAGGAGTGTATTCACCAATATTGGCTAGTGGAGGAATGTCCTTCTTGGCACACTTTATCTCCTGAATACACAAGACATCTGGGGCTTCAGATTGGAGATAATCCAAACCACCATTCTAGAATAAATGTCATACTTGAAGAATGAAGCTCCTACCTTAATCCACGCACGCAAACCATTTACGTTCCACGAGGCAATCTTCATTTGCCAATAGCCATCCGTTTTGGGTGAAAAATTGCTAAGACTGCAAACGGAACCAGGGTACGTTTGGCACCACTCAAAGGGTGGAACTCGCATACTGGAACTGACGACTTTGCCATCACTGGCACTAGCAACGCTGCCGGCCTTAGTCGTAGTAACTTCTTCCTTCACCACTTTTGCCAGCTTGCGAGTTCGGGCAGTATTTTGAGACTTTTTCGCGGGTTTAGCTAATTTCGCTGGCTGATCCTTTTTTGAGGTGGCGAATTTAAGCTTTAAAATAATGGTCAGTCTTCAATAACGGGTTAGATACCTGAGACTGTCTAGCCATAATTTTCAACCAATTTTGAAAGAAATGGGGACCCAAGGTCATCCGGTGCTCAAACATTATTTGATTAGGGAGCATAAAGAAAATCAAGCACAAATGCGCAGCTATTTTGGACCCCAAGTCATGCACAAAATGTGTTTGCATGTATATTTAA